CTTTACAACAAATGCTAAAGGAACTTCTCTAGGTGGAAAAGAAAATGCCACAACTAGAAATAAGAAAATTAAGAACTTGAAAAGCTAACTGGTAAAGGCAAACATTCAGTAAAGGTGGGAAATCATCCACACATACAAACTAATAGAGAAGTTAAAAGACAAAAACAGTAAAATCATCTGTATACACAATAAGCAGTTAGTGGATGCAAAAAAAACAATTAATTGTAAAATATGATAACAAAACCAGTAATCATGAGGGGAAGGGAGTATGAATGCAGGGTATTTAAATGCCTTTGAAATTAAGAGGTTGACAGCTTAATACACAACATCTTTATCCATTCATCCATTGATGGACACATAAGTTGTTTCCACATCTTGGCTATTGTGAATAACACTGCAATTAATATTGGGGTACAGATATCTACTCAAAATCCTATTTTCATTTCCTATGGATATATATCCATAAGTGGGATTGATGGATCATATGATAGTTCTATTTTTAATTTTTGAGGTATTTCCATAAAATTATCCATAGTCACTGTACCAATTTACATTCCTACCAGCTGTGCACAAAGGTTCCTTTTACTCTATATTGCCACCAACACTTATCTCTTGTCTTAAAAAAACACCTTTACCATGGTAATGATTACTGTACATATACTACACATATTTCAGATGTAGAAGTTGATGAATTTTGATAGATGTATACACCAATGAAACCATTACTACAATCAAGATAGTTAACATTTCCATCACTCCCCAAGAGGTGAAATTTTCACATTTAGTTTATCCCTTCCCACTACCTTTACCCCCTAGTAACCATAAGTTTGTTCTCTATGTCTGTGAGTCTGTTTCTTTGTTGCAGATAAGTTCATTTGTGTCCTTTTTAAAGATTTAACATATAAGTGATATCATACGGCACTTTTCTTTCTCTTTCTGTCTTACTTCACATAGAATGATGATCTCCAGGCCATCCATGTGCTGCAAATGACATTGTTTTATTCTTTTTAATGGCTGAGTAGTATTTCAGTGTGTGTGTGTGTGTGTGTGTGTGTGTGTATGTATACATATATTGATGTATATGCCTTCTTTGGAAAAATTCATTTCCTTTGTCTATTTTTTAATCAGTTTTTTATTGAGTTTTATGAGTTCTTTATATGTTTAACACATTAATCCCTTATTAGATATATGGTTTTCAAATATTTTCTTCAATCCCATAGATTGCCTTTTCATTCAGTTTATTGTTTCTTTTGCTCTACAGAAGCTTTTAAGTTTGATGTCGTCCCATTTATTTTTTATTTTGTTGCTTATGCTTTTGGTATCATATTCAGAAAATTGTTGCCAAGACCAATGTCAAGGAGTGTTTTCCTCATATTTTCTACTAAAAGTTTTATGGTTTCAGGTCTTATGTTTAAGTCATCTATTTCAAAATAGTTTCTATGAGTAGTGTGAAATAGGGGTCCAATTTCATTCTACATGTGGTTATCCACTTTTGTCAATACCATTTATTGAAGAAACTATCTTTTCCTTATATATTATTTTTGGCTTCTATGCCAAATATTAGTTGATTGTAGATGTGAGGATTTAATTCTGGGCCCTTAATTCTGCTCCACTGGTCTATGTGTCTATTTTTATGCTAGCACAATTACAATCTTGATTAATATAGCTTTGCAGTGTAGTTTAAAATCAGGAAGCATGATGCCTCTGAAGTTGTTTTTTCTTTCTCAGGATCACTTTCATTACTTGGGGTCTTTTGTGGCTCCATACAAATTTTAGGACTGTTTATTCTATTTTTGTGAAAAATTCCATTGGAATTTTGATGATGATTGCAGTGAATTTATAGATGGCTTCAAGTAGTATGGACACTATAACAATATAATTTCTTCCTCTCCATGAACACATTTTATATTTCTATTTTATTTTGTCTTCTTCAATTTCTTTGATCAATGTCTTGTTGCTTTCAGTGTAGAGATCTTTCACTTCCCTGGTTAAATTTATTCCTTAATATTTTATTAATTTTTAATCTATTGTAAATTGGATTGTTTTAGTTCTTTCTCAGGTAATTCATTGTTAATGTGCAGAAACATGGCTGACTTTTGTATATTAATTTTGCATCCTGCAACTTTACTGAATTCCTTGATTAAATAGTTTTGGGGATCTGTAGGATTTTCTGTATATAGTATATCACCTGCAAGCAAAGACAATTTTACTTCTTATTTCCTGATAAGGATGCCTTTTATTATTTATTTTCTGTTTTCTCTGGCTGGGGCATCTAACATTATATTAAATAGATGTGATAGTGTGTCTTGTTCCTAATCTTAGAGTAAATGTTCAACATTTCACCACTGAGCACTGTGTTGGCTGTGGGTTTGTCATATATGGCCTTTATTTTGTTGAGGTATGTTCCTTCTATACTGAATGTGTTCTGAATTTTTATCATGAAAGCTTATGTTTTGTAGAATTCTTTTTAAAAATCTATTGGGAAGATCATGTAATTTTCATCTTTCATTCCATTAATGTCATGTTTCCCACTTATTAATTTGTGTATGGTGAAACATTCTTGCATCCAGGGATAAATTCCAAATGATCATGGTGGATGATACCTTCAAGGTGCTAATGAATTAAGTTTGCTAACACGTTGAGAATTTTTATATCTACATACATGAGGGATATTAGCCTGTCATTTTTTTTTATTAATAGTGTCCTCATCTGGCTTTTGTATTAGAGTAATGCTGGGCTCATAAAATGAGTTGGCAATGTTCCCTCCTCATCTGTTTTTTGGGAAAGTTTGAAAAGAACTGACATCATTTATTCTTTAATGTTTGGGAAAATTCACCAGCAAAACCATCTGCTGATCATATTTTTTTGTTTGTTTGTACTGGAGGTTTTCAGCTACTGATTCAATCACCTTACTTGTTATAGGTTTGTTAAAATTTTCCATTTCCTCATGATTTAGTCCTGGTTATTGTACATTTCTAGGAGTTTCCATTACTTCTAGGTTATGAATTTTTGGCATATTAGTATTCATAATAGAGTTTTGCAATCTGTTGTATTTCTGTGGTATCAACTTTAATGTCTTTCTCATTTCTGATTATTTGTTTGAGTGGTCTTTTTCTGAGTAAGTCTTGCTAAAGTTTTGTCAATGTTGTTTATCTTCAAAAATCAGATCTTAGTTTTATTTATCTTTACCATAGCTTTTCTGATCTATATTTCATTTATTTCTTCTCTGTTCTTTACTATATCCTTCCTTCTGTTAATGTTGGGATTAGTTATTTTCTCTTTTACTATTACATTGAAATATAAAGTTAGGTTATTTGAGATCTTTATTTTTTCTTAATGTAAACATTTATCATAATAAACTTCTCACTTAGAACTGATTTTAAAATATCCCATAAATTTTGATATGTTGTGCTTCTATTTTCATTTGTTTTCAGAAGTTTGTTTTCCTTCCTTTTGATTGAAGTATAGTTGATTTAGAATATTAGTGTCAGGTGTACAACATAGTGATTCAATATTTTTATATATTATACTCCAATTAAAGTTATTATAAAATATTGGTTATATTTCCTGTGTGGTACAATATATCATTGTAATTTATAAATTATATACATAGTAGTCTGTACCTCTTAATCTCCTACACCTTTCTTGTCCCTCCATCCTTTCCTCTCCCCACTGGTAACCACTAGTTGGTTCTCTATATCTGTAATTCTGTTTCTGTTTCATTATATACATTTGTTTGCTTTATTTATTTATTTCTTTTTAGATTCGGCATATAAGTGATAAAATATCGTATTTGTCATTCTCTATCTTACTTTTTTCAGTAAGCATAATACACTCCAGGTCCATCCATGTTATTAAAAATGGAAAATTTTCATTCTTTTTATGGCTGAGTAAGATTGCAAAGTGTGTATCACAATTTCTTCATTTATTTATTGATAATCACTTAGGTTATCTCCGTATCTTGCTATGGTAAATAATGCTGCTATGGACACGGGGGCATGTATCTTCTTGAATCACTGTTTTTATTTTATTTAGATATATACCCAGCAGTGAAATTGCTGGATTATATGATAGTTTTATTTTTAGTTTTTTGAGAAACTGCCATACATTTTTCCATAGTGGCTGCACCAAATAATTCTCACCAAGTGCACTAGGGTTCCCATTTCTCCACATCCACATCAACATTTGTTATTTGTAGACATCTGATGATAGCCAATTTAACAGGTATGAGGTGACATTCCTTTGTGGTTTTGATTTGTATTTTTCTGATAATTAGCAATTTTTGATATTTTTTGTTTGCCAATCATCTGTGTATCTTATTAAAAAAAGACTATTCAGGTCTTCTGCTCATTTTTTAATCGATTTTTAAAAGATTGAGTTGTATGAGCTTCTTATATATTTTGGATATTAACCCTTATCCATACGTCATTTGAAAATATTTTCTCCCATTCAATAGGTTGTCTTTTTATTTTGTCCATGTCCTTTGCTGTGCAAAACCTTTTAAGTTTAATACTTCACATTTGTCTCTTTTTGCTTTTGTTTCATTTGCCTTAGGAGACAGAACCAAAAAATATTGTTACATTTCCTGTCAAAGAGTTTTCTGCCAGGACTTTTATGGTTTCTGGTCTTACATTTAGGTCATTAATTCATTTTGAGTTTATTTTTGTATATGCTGTGAGAAAATGTTTATATTCTTTTAAATGTACATGTAAAGTTTTCCTTACAGCACTTATGAAAGAGACTTTCTTTTCCTCATTGTATATTTTTGCATTCTTTATCATACATTAATTGACAATAGGTGTGTGTGTTTATTTCTGGGCTCTCTATTCTGTTCCATTAATCTATGTATCTGGTTTGTGTGTGTGTGTGTACTAGTAATGTTGTTTGGTTTACTGTAGCTTTGTAGCATAGTGTGAAGTCAGGGAGTGTGATACTTCCAGCTTTGTTCTTTCTTCTCAAGATTTCTTTATCTATTTGTGGTCTTTTGTTGTTCCATATAAATTTTAGTACTATTTGTTCTTATTCTGTGAATAATGTCATGAACATTTTGGTAAAGATTGCATTAAATCTGTACACTGCTTTGCATAGTATGGACATGTTAACGGTATTAATCTTTCCAATTCATGAACATGGAATATTGTTCCATTCATTTGGATCATCTTCAGTTTCCTTCATCAATGTCTTATAGTTTTCATACGATGGGTCTTTTACTCCCTTAGTTAGGTTCTATTGATGTTTTGGTGTCTATTTTATTTATTTTCTATTCATTATTACTTCCTTACTTCAGCTGATTTTGGGATTTATTTCTTCTTCTTTTCTAATTCTTTTAGATAGTAGGTTAGGTAGTTTATTTGTGATTTTTCTTGATTCTAGAGGTAGGCCTGTATTGCTCTAAACTTCCTTCTTGTTACCTCTGCTTCTGTGTCCCATACATACATTTTGGAAAGTTGCATTTTTATTTTCATTTCTCTTGAGGTATTTTCTGATTTCCTCTTTGATTTTTTTCATTGACCCATTGCTTTTTGTTTTTGGAGCATGTTGCTTATTCTTTATGTGCTTTTGCTTTTCCCATTTTTCTTTTTGTAATTGATTTCTAGTTTTATGTCATTATGCTTCAGTAAAATGCTTGATATAATTTCTTAAATTTGTTGAGTTTTTTCCTGGACTAATATGTGATCTATCCTGAAGAATATTCCATGTGCACTTACAAAGAATGTGTATTTTTTAATGAAATGTCCTGTACATATGTATTAAATCCAACTGGTCTAATGTGCTATTTAAGGACATTGTTTCCTTAATGATATTGTGTCTGGATGATTTGTTCATTGATGTAAGTGGAGTGTCAAAATCCCCTACTATTACATTAATGCATTATTTCTAATTTTCCCCTTATGCCTGTTAATATTTAATTTATATATTTATAATATATGGGTGCATATCTTCTTGTATTGATACCCTTATCATTATATAATGTTCATCTTTATCTTGTATTACAGACTTTGTTTTAAAGTTCAATTTTTCTGATGTGAGTATTGCTAACCTAGCTATCTTTTCATTTTCATTTGCATGAAATATCCTTTTCAACCCCTCACTTTCAGTCTCTGTGTCTTTAGCTCTGAAGTGAGTCTCCGGTAAGTAGCATTTAGATGGTTCTCTTTTTTATTCAGTCACCCTATGTCTTTTGATTGGAGTATTTAGTCCACTGACATTTAAAGTGGTTATTAATAGATATTTAATTTATTGTCATTTTGTTGCTTGTTTTCTAGTTGTTTTTGTAGTTTTAATCTTTTCTTTTCTTCTTCTTTAGTTTCTTCTCTTGAGGGTTGGTGATTTTCTTTAGTGGTATGTTTGTATTCATTTTTCTAGAGTTTCTATGTGTATATTGTAGGTTTTTGATTTGTAGTTACCATGGGTTTCTGTATGTTTCCTATATCTAATTTTTTAAAACTGGTAGTCATTCAAGTTCAAACACATTCTAAAATATCTGCTTTTTAATACATTACCTTCCCCCATATTTTGCATTTTTGATGTCATATTTTATATCTTAATGTGTATCCCTTTAATTTTTTATTGTAGATAATTGATTTTACATTTTTTCTCTTTTAATATTCATAATAGCTTATTTAAGAGGTTGATCAACAACCTTTATACTGTCCATTACTAGTGGGATTATTCCTTTCCTATAGATTATTTATTGTAGCTTTTCCTTTTCCACTAAGAGAAGAAATTTTAACATTTCTTTTAAGGTAGATTTATGATTGATGAACTCTTAGTTTTGCTTGTCTGAGTTTTTTTTTTAATCTCTCTCAGTTCTGAATGTTGATCTTGCTGAGTAGCATATACTAGGTTGTAGCGTTTTCCCTTTCAGTGCTTTAAATATACTATACAAGTCCACTCTGGCCTGCAACTTTCTGTTGAAAGATCAGCTAATAGCCTTATGAAGGGTCTTTGAATGTGACTCTTTGTTTTCTTCTTGCTGCCTTTAAAATTCTCTCTTTATCTTTGTCTTTTCCCATTTTAATTATAACATGTCTTGGCGTGAGTCTCTTTGGGTTTATCTTGTTTGGTACTTTCCATACTTTCTGAACCTAGATATCTGTTTCCTCCTTCATTTTCAGTACGTTTTCAGCCATAATTTAATCAAGTGTATTTTCAAACATTTTCTGTTTTCTCCTTCTGGAACCTCTATAATGCTAACTTTGGTATGCTTGATGTTGTCTCAGAGGTTGTTTTGATTAGTGACTTCCATTATTTTATCTTCCAGGTCACTTATGCATTCTTCTGTATCACCTAGTCTGTTGTAAATTCCTGCTAATGTTATTTATTTCAGTTATTGTGTTCCTCAGTTCTGACAGGTGTTTTAAAAATATTTTCTACTTGTTTAAATTTTCACTCTGTTCATTATTCTTTTCCTTAGTCAGTTGGCATTCTTATTAAGAGTGCTTTGAATTCATTTTCTGGTAAATTATTTATCTCTGCTTTATTAGTTGTTTTTTTTTCAGTGTTTTCAAAATTGTTCTTTCATTTGAAACAAATTCCCCTGTCTTCTCTTTTTCCTTAACTTTCTCTGTTTCTATAAAATTATGTGAAACAGTAACGTATGCTGGTCTTGAAGGATTGTCCTTGTTTGGGAAGGCCCCTATACTGTTTGCTTCTGCTCAGTGGCTTTGGTGGGAGAACTGGATCTGTGGTAAACATGAGTCATGTCTTCTCTCAGGGTGTGCTGGCACCTACCACCTGGAAGGAGGTGGGGCAGGAGATAGAGTGGATAAAATCAGAGCCAGATGTGAGCCAGGGTTTCTCCTTTGCTTAGTGATCAACTCCAACCTATCCAGTGCCAGGTTGAGTCCCTGGTTTATGAATAAGCCCTGTGGTTCAGATCTGAGCTGGTTCTGTTCCCTCTAAGTGTGTGCTTTTCTCCATCCCAGCACTGGCACCTTAACCCCAGAGGAGACTAGTGCTGAATCAAAAGGGGATGGAGTGGGTGCCCAGTGTGGGCTTCAACACATATTGTGGTGGTTTCAGAAAAACAGTCAGTGTCCAGACCACTCCAAATCTCCCACTTCTGTCAGTAATGGCTGCTCTCACCCCATTCAGATGCTATGCCAGGTCTGAGCTGTCTCTGTTTTCCACAACTGAATTCTCATTGGCATTGACAGTTTTTGTGCTAGTGGGGAGCTGCACTATAGAGGAAGTGGCGCATGAGTGGATCCTAGGCTTGGGGTGGTTCATATGCTGGGCCACTTGCAGCAAACAGGCCAGAGTCCTGAGCAATTTCAACCTGCTTTCTCCAACCTGTTTGGGGAATAAGAGAGGATGTGCACATTCTTCAAGAGTAGAGTCTAAGTTTTTACAGCCCCACTGTCAGTCCCACTGGTTTTCAAACCAGCTATGGGGACCTGTCCTCCTGGTGTTGGACCCCAGGCCCCAATATGTGGCTTGAACAGCACACTCCCCAGGGAGAGTCTCTGAGTCCCTGAAATCTCTCTCTTCTACTGTGCCCCTCCTAGGCACACAGGTTCCAACCTAATTGCTTCTCTTCCCTTCCCACTCATCTCCGTGTATAAGGGTCTTTCTGCCAGTATCCAGTTTGTATTCATGAGAATTGCTTGACACGTAGATTTTTGATGTTTTTGTAGGAATAGGTGAGTTTCATGTCTCCTGCTCTACCATTTGATCTCTTGGCCTTAAGATAGTTCTGGTTTCCTTTATGATACCTCTTTCCATCAAGAGATTGTTCAGCAGTATTTTAATTTAAATATATTATTCAGGTTTCCTCCTGTTACTATTTTCTAGTTTCATAAAATTGAAGTAAAATGATACCTGGTATGATTTCAATCTTTTTGAATTTACTAAGAGCTTTTTCATTTTTTATCCATCATATTATCTATCATGGACAATCTTCCTTCTGTGCTTGAGAAAATGTATAATCTACTGCTGACAAATAGAATATCTTTAGAGATATGTTAGGTCCATTTGGTTGAAGTATGGTTCAAGCCCAACATTTCTTTATTGATTTTCTGTCTTTATCATCTACCCATCATTTAAAGGGGGGGCATTGAATTACCCTAATATTATTGCATTGCTTCCTATTTCTCCATCAGGTCTGTTAATATTTCCTCAATTTATGTAGGTGCTCTAATGTTGGTTCTATATGTACTTAGAATTGTTACATCTTTTTTATTTTTTCACATTTTTTATTTATTTATAATCATTTTACAATGTTGTGTCAAATTCCAGTGTAAAGCACAATTTTTTTTAGTTATACATGAACATATATATATTAATTACATATTCTTTATTGTCATTAACATTTCGATTATATAATTACCATACTTGTTTCTTGCTATCATTTTTTACTTAAAGTTCATTTTGTTTCATATAAGTATAGCTACGCTTGCAACTTGACTGGAATATCTTTTGCCATTCCTTCCTTGAGCCTGTGTATGCTCTTAAAGCTGAGGTGAGTCTATTGTAGGCAGCATAAAGGTTCTATTTTTAAAAATCCATCCAGCCATCCCATGCCTTTGAATTTACAAAACCAATATATTTACATTTAAAGTAATATTTCTATGTAAAGACATACTAATGCCATCATATTAATAACTTTCTAGCTGTTATAAAGTTCTCTTGTTTCTTTCTAACTTTATTGCTGCCTTCTTTTGTGAATTGATAAATTGTTATACATGTGTATTTTGATTGCTTATTCTTATATATTGTAAATCTGTCACTTTTTACTGTGTGGTTACCATAAATCTTAACTAACATATCATATATATATTGCTGCATTTTATGCTGATAACAATGTAACTTCGATCACATACAAAAATGCTATCCTTTTGCTCACTGCCTTTTTTTCTCATATTATCACTGACATCTTTTTATATTGCGCATAGTAAAAAATTGTTGAAGCTTATAGGTATTTAAAAATTATTTTTAAAAAGCCTTAAATTAAAAAAAATTGAAGAATAGTTGATTTACACTATTGTATTAGTTTTAGTTGTACAACATAGTGATTCAATGTTTTTTATAGGTTATAATTATTTTAAAGTTATTAGAAAATAATGGTTATATTTCCTTGTGGTGTACAATATATACTTTTTCCTTATTTATTTTATAGCTTGTGCCATTAATCACATATTCTTATCACGCCCCTCCCCCTTTCCTTCTCCAAACTGGTAGTCCCAAGTTTGTTTTCTATATCTGTAAGTCCGTTTCTATTCACATTCTTATGAACATTGGGATGCAAGTATCATTTTGAATTAGTGTTTTGTTTTTCCTGGATATATACCCAGGAGTGGAATTGCTGGATCATAGGGTAATCTTATTTTTAGTTTTTTGAGAAACCTCTATACAGTTTTTCATAATGGTTGCATAAATTTAAAATCCCACTTACAGTGTACAATGGTTCCCTTTTCTCCAAATCCTCATCAGTATTTGTTCTTTGTAGATTTTTTGATTATAGCCATTTTGAAAGGTGTGAGGTGATAACTCATTCAGGTTTTGATTTGCATTTCTCTAATGATCAACAATGTTGGGCACTTTTTCATGTGCTTGTTGGACATTGGTATATCATCTTTGGAAAAATACCTAATCTATTGGTATATCATCTTTGGAAAAATACTTAATCAAGTCTTCCGCCCATATTTAAACTGAGTAACTGTTTTCTTTGATGCTGAGTTGTATAAGTTGTTTATAAACTTTTGATATTAACCCTTAATTGGTCATATCACTTGCAAATATTTTCTACCATTCAGTAGGTTTCTTTATATTTTGTCAATGACTTCCTTTGCTGTGTAAAAGCTTTTAAGTTGGATTAGGTCTCATTGGTTTATTTTTGCTTTTATTTATTTTGCCTTATGAGACAGATTCAAAAAAATATTGCTACGGTTCATGTGAAAGAGTGCTCTGCCTATGTTCTCTTCTAGGATTTTTATGGTTACAGGTGTTACACTTAGGTCTTTAACATATCTTGAGTTTATTTTTGAAAATAATGTGAGGAAGTGTTCTGATCTCACTATTTTACACATAGATCTCCTGTTTTCCCAATTCCACTTCTTGAGGAGACTCTTTCCTCCATTGTAGATTCTTGGCTCTTCTGTCATAGATTAATTGGTCAAAAATGCATGGGTTTATTTCTGGGCTCTCTATTCTGCTCCACTGATCTGAGTCTGTTTTTGTATCAGTAATATTCTATTTTGATTCCTGCATCTTTGTAGTATAGTGTGAAGTCAGGGAATGTGATATTTCCGGATTTGTTCTTTTTTTTTTCTCAAGATTGCTTTGACAATTCATGGTCTTTTGTGCTTCCATAAAAATTTTTAAAATTATTTCTAGTTTTGTGAAAATGTCATAAGTTTTTTATTAACAGCAACATTATTTATAATTGCCAAGATATGGAAGCATCCTAAGTGAACATCAATACATGAATGGATAAAGAAGATTTAGCGTCTAAATATATATGCAATGGAATACAACTCACCCATAAAAAAGAAGGATATTTTTCCATTTACAGACTTCATTCACTTTTTTTTTTCACTTCAAAAACCAGAATTTTATAACAGGCATAAACACTTCCATTGTATCAAAAACAACAAAATACCTAGAAATAAACTTAACCAAAGAGGTTACATATATTCTGAAAATTGTAAAACATTGATGAAGGCAATTGAAGATGATACAAAGAAATGAAAAGGTTTCTTGTGCTCTTGGATTGGAAGAATCAACATTATCAAGATGGCCATACTATCCAAAGCAATCTACAGATCCAATGCAATTTCTGTCAAAGTACTCACAACGTTCTTCACAGAACTAGAAGAGAGAATTCCAAAATTTATATGGAACCATAAAATACCTTGAATTGCCAAAGCAATCTTTTGTAGGTGTTTATTTTTTCTCTTTCTTCTTTTCGCTCTCTTTTCTTATGGTTTGATGACTGGAGAAGTTCCTTTAGCATATGTGGTAAAGCTGGTTTGGTGGTGCTGAATTCTTTTAGCTTTTGTTTATCTGTGAAGCTTTTGATTTCTCCATCAAATCTGACTGAAAACCTTGCAGGATAGAATATTCTTGGTTGTAAATTTTTCCCTTTCATCACTTTAAATATATCTTGTCTCTCCGTTCTGACCTGTAGAATATCTGCTGAAAAGTCAGCTGATAATCTTATGGGAGTTAATTTGTATGTTATTTGTTGCTTTTCTTTTGCTAATTTTAATATTTCTCCTTATCTTTAATTTTTGTCAATTTGATTAGTATGTGCCTTGGTGTGTTCCAGTTTGGGTTGATCCTGTGTGGAACTCTCTGTGCTTCCTGGACTTGGGTGATTGTTTCCTCAACCAAGTTAATGAAGGTTTGGGTTACTATCGCTTCAATTTCTTTCTCAGGTCCTTTCTCTCTCTCTCTTCTCTTTCTGGGATCCCTATAATGCAAATATTATTGCACTTCACTTTGTCTCAGAGTTCTATTAAACTGTCCTCATTTCTTTTCATTCTTTTTTCTTTTCTGCAGTAGAGATTTCCAGTAATCTATCTTCTAGCTCACTGATCCATTCTTCTGCTTCATTTAGTCTATTCCTAGTTCTTTCTAGTGTCATTTTGGTGATTTTACTCTTCAACTCTATTTGAGTATTCCTTATATTTTCCAATATTTTGCTAAAAAACTTCACTCTGTGCATCTATACTCCTATTCAGTTCTATGAACATCTTTGCCATTATTGCTTTAAACTCTTTCTCAGATAAATTGCTTATCTCCTCACTTATTTCTTCTTCTGGAATTTTATCTTCTGCCTTGGCCTGTGAAATATTCCTCTGCTTCCTCATACCGTTTATCTTTCTATTTGTATTTTTAGGTAGGTTAGTTAAATCTCTCAATCTTGGAGAAGTGGCCTTCTGTGGGAGACATCCTACATTTCCCAGAACTACACTTCTCTCTTGTCACTCAAGGGTCAGGGTCCAGCTGGTCCCAGTGTTAAGGTCTGGCCTGTGTTTGTGGATTCCTTCCACAGGCTTTGGGATTGTTTTCTTATTTCTGGTATCTGCCCCTGGTGGATGAGGCTGTACTAGAGGCTTATGCAGGTTTCCTGGTAGGAGGACCCAGTGCCTGCCCACTGCTGGGTGAAGCTTGGTCCTGGATTTTTGTAGGTAGAGCCATGTCTGGAGGTGTTTTGGCTAAGGAAGTCTGCTGATGGGTGGGGCTGTGTTCCCAATCAGTATGTTGTTTGGCCTGAGGCTTCCCTACAGGCTTTTGGGTGGGGCTAAATCTTGGTGATAATGATCCAATGAACATGTCAGCCTCCAGGAAAGCTCATATAGATGAACACCCCCAGAATGTCCTCCATCATCTTTTATGCCCCCTGGGTGAGCCACGGCTGTCTCTTACTTCCCCAGGATATCTTCCAAACCCAAGAGGCAGGTCTGGCTGAGGATCCTATGAAATCACTGCCTCTGCCCTTGGATCTGGCACACACAAGATTCTGTGTATGCATCCCAAAAGAATGAAGTCTCTGTTTCCTCCAGTCATGTGGGGCTCCTGGAATTAAGGCCCACTGGCCTTCAAAACCAGATGTCTTGGGGTATACTCCTCTTTCTGATGTCAGAACTCTGGGCTGGGGAGCCTGACTTGGGACTTAGAGTTCTCACTCCTGTGAGAGGGCCTCTGTGACTTAATTATTCTTCAGCTTGTAAGTCACTCACCCAGGGGGTATGCAGCCTGATTATATCACAAGTGTGCCACACCTACCATCCCGCTCTGGTTCCCTCTTTATGTTTCCAGTTGAAGAAGATCTTTTTTGCTAGGTTCCAGTCTTTCTTTCTTTCTTTTTTTCTGCTGGTGGTTGTTTAGCAGTCAGTTATTGTTTAGTTGTAGTCATGAGGAGAGGTGAACTTGTGGAGATACTACTCTGCTATCTTGACTGGAAATCTCACCTGTCATAGGTATTTTGATATGGATTGTAGTAAATCTGTAGACTGTTTTAGTACAGTATGAACATTTTAACAATATTATTTCTTCCAATCCAAGAACATGGTATATCCTCCCATTTCTTTGTGTCATTTTCAAATTCCTTCATCAACATTTTATAGTTTTCAGAATATAGTATTTCACTTCCTGGCATAAATTTATTCATAGGCATTTTTATTATTTTTGATGTGATTGTAAATGAGACTCTTTCCCTAATTTCTCTGATAGGCCATTGTTACTGCATAGAAAAGCAACACATTTCTATATATTAATCTTGTCTCCTACAAATTTACTGAATTCATTTAGTAGTTCTAATAATTTTTGAAGGAGACTTTAGGGTTTCCTATACATAGTATCATGTCATCTCGAAATAATTACATTTATAATTTTTCCCTTCCAATGTGGGCACCCTTTATTTATTTTCTTATATGATTGCTGTGATTAGATCTATGTTAATTAAATGTGGCAAATGTGGGCATTTTTGTCTTTTTCCTGATTTCAGAGCAAAAGCCTTCTGCTTCATACTGTCAGCTATGATATTAGCTTTGGGTTTGTTGGGAATGGCCTTTATTACATTCCCTCTTATCGATTTTGATGCGCATTTTCATCATGAATGGATGCTGAATTTTTTTCAAATGCTTTTTCTGCATCTACTGAGATGATCATGTGATGTTTATCTTTCCCTTTTTAAATGTGGTATATTACATTGATTAATTTACAGATATTTAACCATTCTTGCATCCCTGTGACAAATTTCACTTGATCAAGGTATATGATCCTTTTTATATATTGTTGAGCTTGGTTTGGTAACCTTTTATTGAGGATTTTTGCATAAATTCTTCAGAGATATTGGTCTGTAAGTTTTAGCTTTTGTAGTGTCTTTGCCTCATTTTGATATCAGGGTGATGGTGGCTTCATAGAAAAAATTAGAAATGTTTAGTTTTCTTCAATTTTCTGGAATAGTTTGAGGATAGCATATATATATGTATGTGTGTGTGTGTATATATATATATATATATATATATATATATATACACACATTAGAAATTCCTTGTGAAGCCATAAAGTCCTGGACTTTTTGTTTCAAATTTTTTAATCATAAATTCAATTTTACTACTAGTGATCAGATAGTTCAGATTGTCTATTGCTTCATGATTTAGTCTTTGAAGATTGTATATTTCTAGAAAGTTGTCCATTTCTTTTAAGTTGTCCAATTTGTTGGCATATAACTTTGCACAGTATACTCTTACAATTTTTTTTTGTATCTCCACGATATTGATTGCTATTTCTCCTCTTTCATTTCTTATTTGGCTTATTTGAGTTATTTTTATTTTCCTCTTGAAGAGCCTGGTTAAAGATATATCAATTTATTTATGTTTTCAAAGAGCCAGCCCTTGCTTTCATTGACTTTGTATTGTTTTGTTGGTTTATATTTATTTATTTCCTCTCTGATCATTATTATTTCCTTCCTTCTGCTGACTTTGGTCTTGTTGTTGTTGTTGTTGTTGTTGTTGTTGTTGTTGTTGTTCTTTTTCTAAGTCCTTTAGATGAAAGGTTAATTTCTTTATTTGAGATTTCTCTTATTTTTAAGGTAAGCTCATTCATATACTTCCCTCTCTGTATATAAACTTCCCTCTTAGAACTGCTTTTACTTCATCCCATAGATTTTGGAATGCTTTGTTTCCATTTTAGTTTGTCTGAAGGTATTTTCTGATTCCTCCCTGATTTGTTCATTGACCCAAGGGTTATTCAGTATCATATGGTTTAATCTCAATGTTTATGCTTTTCCAAGTTTATTTTTGTAATTGATTTCTAGTTTTCAGATCATCGTAGTCAGAAAAAAATTTAGTTTTTTCTATATATAAGTTTTTTCTGCTGTAAGTTTTTTCCTCTTAAAAGTGTTAAACTTGTGTCCTAGCATGTGATCTACATAGGAGAATGTTTCACATGCACTTGGAAAGAATATGCATTATGTTGTTTTTGGATGAAATGTCCTGTAGATACCTATTAAGTCCAACTGGTCATTTAAGCCCACTGTTACCTTACTTATTTTCTGTCTATATGATCTTTCCATTGATGTACCTGGGGTGTTAAAGTCCTGTATTATTATTGTATTGTCATCTTTCCCCTGTTTTCTGTTAACATTTGCTTTATGTATGTAGTTGCTTTTGTAATGTGTCAATATATGTTCATGGGTTTAATATTCTTTTCTGTATTGATCCCTCTACCATTATCTACTACCCTTCTTTGTCTTTTGTTATACTTTGTTTTAGAGTTTATTTTGTCTGATATGAATATTGATACACCAGTTTACTTGTTTCTATTTGTATAAAATATCTTTCCATCCTCTCTCTTTTACTGGGTGTGCCTTTATTTCTAAAGTGAGTCTGTTGCAAGCAGCATATAGATGATTCTTGTTTTTTAATTTAATCAGCCATATCTTTTAATCAAAGCATTTAGTCTATTGACAAAGTAATTTTTTCTACATTTTTAATTGAAAAATACCATATGAGATTGCTCATACGTGGAATCTAAAAAAAAAAACATAAATACAAAAAAGAAACAGACTCATAGACATAGAATACAAACTTGTGGTTGCCAAGGGGGTGGGGGGTGGGAAGGGACAGACTGGTATTTCAAAATTTGTAGATAATTATTGATAGGTATGTACTTATTGCCATTTTGTTATTTGCTTTCTGTTTATTGTAGATCTTTCCCGTTCTTTCCCCCTTATTGTTGTTTCTTGTAGCTTGATGATTTTCTTTAGTCACATGCTTGTGTTGTTTCATTTTTGTGTATCTATTGTAGATTTTTACTTGTGGTTACCATGGGGTTTATATATGTTGAACTATATGTATTTGTTTTAATAGGTGCTTCATTATGTTCATACATATTCAAAAACTCTAATATTTTTTACTTCCTTCCTCCACATTTTGTGTTTTTGATGACATATTTTACATCTCCATGCTTATCCCTTAAATGATTATGGTAGTTATACTAATTTTTTACAATATTTTGTCTTTTTAGAAATTTTCATACTAGCATATTTTTTATTTTCTACAATCTTAACTCTATATTCACCTTTACTAGAGTTTTTTTTTTAACTTTCATAGAGATACTTACTTCTTGTTATAGCCTTTTCTTTTCCTCATAAAGAAGACCCTTTAACATTTCTTTTAGGGTCAACTTAGCACTGATGAAGTCTTATTTTTTGTTTGTGTGAGAATTTCCTTACCTTTCTTTCTGTTTGAAATCATAATCTTGCAGGGTAAACTATTCTTGAATGCAGGTCTTTCTGTTTCAGCATTTTCAATGTATCATGCCACTCCCTTCTAGCCTGAGAATTCTGTAGAATAACCAAGACTGTTTTTCCTTCTTTCTACCTTTAGAATTTCTATATTTAATTTCTGCATATTAATTATGGAATGTCTTGATGTGAGTCTATTTGTGTTCATCTTGTTTGGGACCCTCTGTGCCTCCTGTATCTCAATATCTGTTTCCATCTTCAGGCTTGAGACATTTTCAGCCATAACCTCACTAAATATATTTTCAATCCACTTCTCTCTTCTCCTTCTGGGACCCCTAAAATGTGAATGTTGGTATGATTGATATTATTCCAACAAACCTTTAAACTGTTTTCATTTTTTAAAATTTATTTTCTTTTTGATCATCTGTGCAATTTCCATTATTTTATTTTCAAGATCACTTATATGTTCTATATTGATTAGCCTGCCATCCATTCCTTCTAGTAGGTTTTTCATTTCAGTTATTGTATTTTTCAGTTCTACTTTTTTTATATTTTCTAGTTCCTAGTTAAAATTCTCATTGTTTAACTTTTCCCTATTTCATTTAGCAATGTTATTACTAATGCTTTGAATTCTTCATCTTGCCAATTGTTTATTTCTATTTCACTAGTTGTTCTTTCGAGGATTTTCTCTTGCTCTTTAAACTGAGACACATTCTTCTGTCATCTTACTTTGCTCAATTTCCTTTGTATGAAACTGGTTGAAACAGTTACTTATGGTAGTCTTGAAGGGGTGTTCTTATGTGGCAGTATCCCTATACATTCTGGGTGTGTCCTGTGGCTTCTGTGGGAGAACTGAATTTGATAAGAATATGAGTCATGTGTTTCCTCAGGGTGTGCTGGAAGTTACCACCTTGTTATTAGGTGGGCCTGGAGTTGGAGGGGCTATTGCCAGGTATGAGGTTGGGTTTTCTCTCTGCTCAGTGGTTATCACTGCCCTATTAGGGGTGGGGTCACATCCCAACTTGCTGGAGAAAAATCCCTGAGGTCTGGGTCCAAGTTGGTTCAGCTCCGTTTACATGTATACTCTCCCCACTCCCAGCCCCAGCCCCCTCAGCCCCAGAAGGTAGCAGATTTGGAGCAAAAGCAGCCTGCTTGGGTACTCAGTGAGAGTCAGGCTGCAGGATTTGGCAGTCTGGCCCCTGCCAGATATCTGGATTGACTCTGATGGGCCCCCTGTGCAATTGCCAGTAATGGCTGCCTCCTCACTGCTCAGTCCCTGCTTAGGATTTGAGTCACTAGAACTTCACATGGCCAAACTTCTTCCTCAGTCTTGGCCATGCATTCTCTAGTGTAGAGCTGCAATGTGAGGCAAATTGTGCTGAAGCATTCACTCAGCTCTGTGTCAGGTGCATGCTGGGGCAGTTCTGGGAACCAGTTCAGCCAGCCTCACAGTTTGAATCCATTCTTTCCACCCTTCTTTGGGAAAAAGCCTTCCTGTTAGTCCAACAAGCCCTCTAACCTGCCAAGGAGGTTTGCCTTCTTTTTGACGGACCCCAGGACTGGTGTGTTCACTCCCCAGGGAGGATCTGTGCCATGTGATATCCCTTTTCTTCTGAGTCCCCTCCCATGGTCACAGGTCCCAACCTGATCACTTCCTTTCCCCTCTACCCAATTCCATCTGCATCTTTCTTACAGCCTTGGTTGTACAGGAGCCTTTCTTCTAGTCTTCAGTTATCAGTGAGAATTGTTCCACATGTAGATGTATTTTTGATGTGTTCATGGCGGAAGCTGAGTTCCATGTCCACCTATTCCACCATTGTAATATAAGCCCTAACTGTAGCTACTTTGAATACTTCTTTATCTTTTATACAAGAGGTAAACATTTAACATATTATCATATCACATAATACAATGTATTAGGGTATTCTGAATCTAACTATATTCTTACCTTTACTAGTGTGTTGCATATTTCCATATATTTCATGTTAGTAATCAGTGTCCTCATGTTTAGGGCTTGAAGAACTCCATTCAGCATTTCTTATAAGGCAGGTTAAGTGGTGAGTAATTCTCTCAGCTTTTATTTATTAGGGAATGTCTTATCTCACCTTCATTTCTGAGTCTACTTTGCTGGGTAATGTATTTTTATTTGGCAGCTTCCTTCTTTCAGTGCTGTGAATGTATCATGTCATTCTCACCTGGCCTGCAAGGTCTCTGATGAGGAATCAGCTGTTAGCCTTATGGGGGTTCACTATGTGAGAATTTTTTTTTAATCTTGCTGCATTTGAAATTCTTTTATTTTGATTTTAGATAGTTTCATTATGTGCTTTGAATTGAAATTTTGGTATGACTCATTCACTTCATGACCTTGTATATCCAAATCTCCCCATATTTAGAAAATTCTCAAACACTATCTCTTTCAATAATCTTTCTACTCTTTTCTCCTGGTGTTCTCTTTTGAGACTCCAGTTATGTGTACTTTCTTTTTCTTTCAGTGGTGTTAAGCTCTGTTGACTTTCTTGATTTATTTTCATTCTTTTTTCTTTTGCTTCTCTGTAAGGATAATTTCAATTGACCTATCTTCTACATCACTGATTCTTCTGTGTGATTAAGTCAGCTTCTGATGCTCTGTATTAAATTCTTCAGTTCATCTGTATCCTTCAGCTCCAAAATTCTGTTTGGTTCTTTTTAACATATTATCTCTCCTTATTGAACTTCTGATTTCATTCTTGTATTTTATGATATAGATAAAATTTTAAATCTATGCTTTCATATAGCTCTGAGTAGTGTATTTAGAACAATTATTTAGAATGATTTGTTGGGCAATTTATGGATCTCCATTTTTTTGAGATAAGTTACTGGAGGTTTACTGAATTCCTTTGATAGAGTCGTGTTTTCCTGCTTCTTCATGAACCCTCTAGCTTTGTATAAATGTCTGCACATTTGAATAAGCAGTTAACTCTTCCAGACTTTATGGATTGACATTTGTAAGGGAAGTCTTTAACCTGTGGGTATGGGTACACTGGAGTATGATATAACCATGGGTTTAGTGGTGCAAGGTGCCACGTGTAGGGGTATGTGACAGCACTGGTTCTGGATTCTTTGCTATCTCTTCAGCTCCACAGCATTGACAACTGTGTTATCCCTGAAAAGCAATGTGGAGAATCTGTAGGCCCTTGGCTTCAAGGACTGTTGGAGACTTCAGGAGGTGTGCACACACTCATTCTGGGCACCAGCTTCAAGGGCTGGATGCAGACACATACATAGTGATGGGGGCCAGAGCAGAAAACAAGAGCTAGGGTTTACTATAGTCTCACTGGCAGCTGCAAAGTCCCAGTTATTGTTGTGCTCTCCCATGGTTGTACATTGTCCCCTCAGTTGTGCACACTATAATGGTCAGGTACTTGGGCCACGGTGGGGGTATGCAGCTGCACATCTGGAGGAGCTATCTGCAGGTTGCTGTGGTGGTACTAGCCAGTGACAGAAGGC